CACCGAGCAGCAGGCGACAGTGTGTGGGGACAGCCCTGGTGTCCTCTCACAGACTGGACACAGCCATGGTGGGTGTGACAGCCCTGGTGTCCCCTCACAGACCAGCAGGCCACAGTGTGTGGTGAAAGCCCTGGTGTCCTCTCACAGACTGGACACAGCCATGGTGGGTGTGACAGCCCTGGTGTCCCCTCACAGACCAGCAGGCCACAGTGTGTGGTGAAAGCCCTGGTGTCCTCTCACAGACTGGACACAGCCATGGTGGGTGTGACAGCCCTGGTGTCCCCTCACAGACCAGCAGGCCACAGTGTGTGGTGACAGCTCTGGTGTCCCCCCCAAACCAGACTGTGTGAGGAGCTGCAGAGATGTCCTCCCACACCAGGCTGATATCTCTCCACAGACTGGGGCTGGGTGAGGGGAATCTCCACCTGCACCTCTCCTCACACCCCCACGAATGGCAGTGGTTACCATTTTGGGAAAAAGATATATAGCTATTGAGATTCATTGAAACAGTAAAATAATCACCCAGTGATTAGTTTCTTTAGATTCAGAGATGAGACTAATTAGGTTCAGTTTCTTTAGGTGCTGTGCCATCTGCCTCTCTGCTAGACATTTAAACCCCACAGATTTTGTCAGCCATTTCAAAGTAGCTTTGCTAAACAGAGCTTTATAATCCTCCTGACACTATGCAGAATCAAACTAAAAGAATGCCTTACCCATCTGGAAGTCTTCCCAGGAAAATGAGGTTTCTGAAAGTTGCCTATGTCAAGCCTGGGAGGGAGAGCTTCAGTATGGAAAAAAAACAACAACCGCAACTTTGTCTTAAATGTCTGTCTCTTATACTCTTCTGTCTGTAAAAAGAAAGCAGCATGTAGGAGTATTGCACTCACGTAGGAAAGCGCAAATAATCCTGCTGCTGTTAGTTATCTGTCAGGATTCTGTGATTTGCATTTTAGGCATCAGAAAAACTATTCATTACTGGGGCTTCTACCCACTACAAGTGTAAATGTTATGTGCCTATGTTTAGAAAGTGTGTTCTAACTTTAAGCAGAGTAAAAAAAAAAAAAAAGTTATTCCAAGAGAGTACTCCATATTTCTCTCAAAAAGTCCTAATCTTACTGCACCAAGGATTGCAGCCATGCTTACTTTGCTCACAGCAGTGACCCAAAGCTCCAATTTTATGCATCATGTCCTGTAGGCAATCCATTTAAGACTGTTTAACCAGTGAGATATGGAGTTTAAGCAATAACTGCCTCCTACATTGTACAGGCAACAGAAGCTGGGTAAAACTTGTAGTGAAAATCTATTTTTCTTACTTTTTTTACAAAAAGTTCACATTATTCTATAAAGTCCCGGTAGAAACTTGTCTTGCACTCCTTTGTTTTTTTTGCTAATATGGTTTTGTAACTATATTGCAGCACGACAAAGAAAATTAGAAGAAATTAATATGCCAACGAAGTTGTCTTACAATATTTTAAGAAATTAAGAATTGATGAAATGTTGCATTACAGGTCAAATGTCTAAAAGATTTTCCTTCTCAATGTTCCATGCATTTTGTAGCCCTAAGACAGAACATGGTCCTATCCTCAACTAAGGAAACCAGGATCTGACAAAGTGATGTCAGCAGAGATATGTGGACTTTACTACCTGAAGATTTAATCCATCATAACACAACACAACATAACATAGCACAACACAACAATTTGTGTCCTAAATTCTGAATGCCATTGATGAGAATTCCAAGCTATGACTCTTAAAATTAAAACAATAATTATTTGCATCTTCCAGGAGCAGAATCATATTAAAGCAGGAAAGGAGAAAGCAAAAGGTAAACCGTTCTAGCCATCCTGGATTTCATATTGTTTTATAAATGCTTTAGTTGATTCACTTAGGAAAAAATTCAAAGCATTTGAAGTGAGACTCAAAACTGTAGTGCAAACGTGTGCTTGCCTGGCTGCATGTAACTTTTAGGGCAGAAGTCTTGTTCTAGGTTTACAACACTGAATTCCAGCAGGAAGAGGAGAGAGTGGGAGGAGGAGTGGATGAATGAATGAATCAATGAATGTGCCTGATTTAAGTCTGACTGAATTACATCTGTTACTATATTTTGTTGGAATGTGCTGACACACAGAATTGCTTGAAGCCTCACAGTGACAACCACGTGATCAGCTAGCCTGATACATATGCACAGCTATTTTTTCTGGGCTACATAAAAGAATGTTAGGTTCATATTCTGGCATTTGCAAAAGTAGGGCAGCCTGTTTGTATTGTGAATGTGAAAGTTAAATTATAGAATCAAATTTATCCCTAGCATAGCAGAGGACATTTCAAACAGGAAAAAGAAAACAGTAAGAGAAGATAATTATAGCCATAGGGAAGTCAGTTTCCTCCTCAGCAGCTGGGAAAAAAGAGACAGGACAAGGAACCTCCACCACTGAAGCTGACACCCTTCAGTGGCCCAGAGCAGGTGTACTGGCATGTATAGGAGGAAGGAAATCAGAGTAACAGTATGCAGAAATTCCTGAAACGAAAACTTTCACCCAAAGGAATGTGGCAGCAACCAACAGTTTGCTGCCTGTAATGGTTTGAAGCAAACCAGTGAGAGACTCCAAGTCCGAAATACAATTTAATAGGAAAAAATAAAATAAATGCAATAATACAAAGAGATACCACAGGCAGAGTCAGAATACAACCTGACACTCTGTAGTTAGGGTGGTGGTAGCAGTCCCGATGAAACAGTGGTCTCGTAGAAAAGATCTGGTAGCTCTTGTCCTCTGGAAATCCAGTGGGTAAGGCCCCCTGTGCTGTACTGAACCCCAGTTTATATCCAGGTGGGAGCTCTTGGCTCCTCCCCCTGGGTGGAGCATCTCACAATGGGTTGATATCAGTCTGTGAGTCATGCAGTGGGTCCTTGATGGTCCCTTAAACAGAAATAGCTCCTGGGGGGAGCTCTGTATGAGTCCTGGGGCGAGGCATGGATGGGCCCATTAACAGGGAGGACTCCTCCTGCTGGGTGGGAAGTGTTAACATCTCCCCGGACATCTTTCCTTATCTGTTATAGCCTGGGGTGTGAGGTCTGTCCTGGGCAGCTGCTACCCATGATTTTCTTAACAGCCCATGAGCACTGACATAGAGGGTATAGAATACACAGTTTTGGTTCTACCCACATAAGGATAAACTGGTCCCAGCCCCTGTAACCATGACACTGCCCACATCACTTTCATAGTCTCATGGAGGCCTTTGAGTTCTCAGAATACCTATTTTCTCAGGGATTTATTGGTCTAAGCCATATAATTTACATTACAACTATGTAATTTGCTTCAGTGGAGGAGAGAGAACAGGAAAGGATCCAAGTCAGGATCTTTTTTAGTAATTCAGTACTGAATTAGTAAATTACTAAACACCATGGTAATTTGTAATTGCTATTAAACCATTAATAATAATTCAGAGGTGATGGGAAGAAAGTATCTGGGACACTGAAGGGACACGGTTACATTTTGGGGCTGTAGACTCCAAAGCAATATGAATTTTGAGGTGCTGATTTATACACAGGCTGGATTTCCCTTACTGCAGATATTCCTCTTATCTGAAGAACAGGTATTTTCCATAGATGATAGCATCTTAGAAGATTGTGATATAATAATTTATGCTGGAAAATTGTTACCAATGAAGGCGTTTGGTATATGAGTTACATGTAGCCTGCAATCGTGGGAGGAATTACATCTCAGAAGAAAAGCAAATGGTATTTTGTGTTTCAGCATAGCCTTCAGTTTTCAATATGCTTCTTGTGGTTAAAATAAAGAAGTCATACTGGTTTCATTTATTCATCTGCTGTGCTTGATGCTAATCATTTTAGGATGATTATTAATAGTTTATTAATAGATTGTTAATGGATTATTAACAGTTGTTTCCCAAATTTTCCAGCACTATCTGCCTGACATATTCAAAGTGTCAGTTATATCTCTTTTTATTCTGTGCATCAAAAAGCCTTTCTCAAGTCCCAGTCTTAAACATTTTTCTTCTTTACTTTTGCTGTTGGTGGTGGTGGTTTTTGTCACAAGACTATTTTCTGTGTCAAGAAAGACACAGAAGAACAATATTGGAGAACAATAAACTCTTTGTGTCATTATAGATGGCCATGTGTATGTAATCGTGGTGGTTTATTTGCCTAACAGCTTATAAGCTGCTTAAAAACTCAAGTTTAAATGTTTTTAAGACTTTATCCTTGCAGCATTTTGGTAAAGAATACTTTTAATGATCATACACAAAGTTTCAGGCATGAGTATTTAAGGACTAAGGTTTTGGCATCAAGAGAACAGTGATTTGTTTTTAATACGACCACATTATACTTGCAGTCTTTTCCAAGGCAAGACAAATAAATTAAATAACAGCAGACAGGGTGTGAGAATTCAGAGAGTTTTAGTTGTGTGCTTTTATTATCAAGAATTGTTTATAATTCTAGTCTTTCATGCTAATTTCAAAATAATTGTATATGCTGCTAATGTGTTGTTGAAGCTTCTGTCAAAAAATTATTCTCTCTTTTGAAAAATTTAGGAATTCTTTGAAAAGAAGAAACTTAAATCAAAGATGAAGCTTCTGGAAGTGTCATCTCCTAAAAGTTCAACAGCCAGTTTAGATCTCCTCAATCTCTATGTTGTTAATCAGATATCAACCAAAAAAGACAGCACCAGTGAGTTTAGTGTAACAGTGTTCTGACTTCACAGTTATCAGAATCAATTATCCATAACTCTTACTGGTAGTATTTTAATTCTTTTTCCTCCACTTAAAACTTAATGTTCAAATAAGTGTTGTTTTGTTTTTAAAGTAAAAAAGGTGTAAGCAAATACAAAAATTATGACTGAATGAAAAGTCAGGAATAAAAAAAGGAATCAAGTAACCCTGGCTACTCCCTACTTCACCTTTACAGCCTTGTACACTTATGTACCTTCATTATTCTGTTCATTAATTTTGCCCTACATCCATTTCTTTTTCCCTTTGCTGTTGAATGGGTCCATTTCTATTTCACTCCTTTTTTTCATAACTTTTGGGAGGCATTTAGAATAGTCTGTCAATTCTACCAAGATTTTCTTTCTTTGATTAAGGTCCTCAAAAGATATCTCTGCAACTTGAGTCCTACCTCTTTATGTGTAGATATGGTGCTTAGGGTGATTGTGTTTAGTAGTGGACTTGACAGTGTTAGGTGAACCATTGGACTTGATCTGAAAGGTCTTTTCGAACCTAAACAATTCTATGATTCTTATACTCTCTGACATATTCATAAATCAGATTGTGGAGACTTTGTTGTCCTATGCTCAAGAAGATTAGAAAGTGACTGAGGAGGGCAACAGAGCCTGTCTACACTCAGCAGCTGACCGTAAATAATATTTTACTATAATGCCATTTAGAATAGGGCTCTTGTCTAGTGGCAAAGACAGCAAAAAATATGGCTTTACATGGATTAAGAAACCTAAACCAACAGCTTTTGTACTCTAATGAAAATCCAGGAAGCTCAAAACTTTCTCCAAACCCAGCACTGACATTCCAAATACTTTCATTGCAGATAAGGGGAGGAAGCCAGTCCACATTGATATCACTGAGGATGCAAAAAGACCTGTTAGGAGGCACAACATAGAGCTTCCCATGTCACCACTACGTACACAACGTATGTCAAAATTAGATGACATCCAGAACAGGTACTTGTATAAAACAGGCAGTAGTTAAGATATAATGAAGTTCTGGAAAAGGTCTTTCAGCATGGTCTTATATTTGGGGTTATTAAGTAAAAATAAATATACCATTCTAAGACGAAGAAGTTTCACAATCAGTTTGGACATTCCAGTGATACTCTCACTATGAGAGAGTAAATAAATGTATTCTAAACAAAAACTGTACATGAAGCTCAGAGATTTAAAAAATCCCCAATGTTTCTTTACTCATGTCAGGTTCATGTACTAAGTTAATCTCACAGAGCAGGCTATTCAAACACCATTTTCCACTTAAACTGTTTCCCCATCCAGCTTCAGACACCCTAAAGTGACTGACTCACACACTGGCTGCTCATAACTACTTAAGAATCAGGCATTTTTAAGATGTGTGGAAAAATATTCTTAAATTTTTTTGAAATTAATACTCAAAATGTTTTTAATCTTATAGATCTTGTATTTCATGAGCTGATTTTATTCCTTTTACAAGGTTACAAAAGCAAGTATTGGACAGCAGGAGGCAGCATCTCACAGAGAAAGTGAAATACAAACATAATGTAAGTTTATTGTTTTCACTGATGTAAAGCTAAAAATGTGCAGCAATGTCTGTATTTTTAAGTGATTCTTCAAAAAGTGACCACATCTTGTGGCTACTGAAGCATGTGAAGTCTTCCTCCTTAAGGCTATTTTGGTATGGGTTTTGCCAATTATATTTTATATTTGTTCTTGCTATTTTTAATATATTTATTGAAAGGCTCACATTGTTTTAGGTATTGTCCAAAAAACTTAAGAATATCTGTGCTCTAAGGTAGTCACAAAGGACAGAGATTATGGGCAAGAGACTGAGGAAAGAACAGCAGGTAAGTTAAAAACAATATGGAGAAATGGGAATTGATGAAATGTGAGAACCACAGACAGAAGTGAGTCTTTAAGAAGAACCTAAGTACAAGTCTCAGTGGATATAACTGGGAAGTCCACACACTCACTGAAGGTACTGTGAAAACCATTGTCTAGATGGAATTTAGGGACTTCTTTTATCACCCATTCCACTGTTGCATAAAAACCCAACAAAACTAAACCAAACCCAAACCTGAGTTAGTAAATCTCTTAGAAGACACTTACTTTAGGTTATGCAGACTTGCTCCACTGACTCCTGCTGTTCATATCAGATAGGACTCTGAGGAAAAGATGCTTGCAGGAGATGCTTGCACAGTATTGTTCTGCATGCTCTTGGCCCATTTGTGTTGCCAAAGCGTGTTTTCCTGGAGTGAGAAAGACAGATGTTTTTCTAGTGTCAGAAATTATTTTCTTTTGAGTCAGTAAGAGTTACATAGTATAGGTGAAAAGTTTAACTGTCTAACATGTTTCAAGCAAGATCCCCCTGAGCTGCCACTACTTTTTGGATATCCCATTAGGTCAGCCTTCCCTTATGACTCTTTTTCATCTGTTTCTTGAAGGCAGAGAGGACATATTTTAGATTCAGAGAGGCCAGAAATAACAGATTAGTAGATTGTGCTGCTTTCACTGGATTTTTAGCTGTAGAAACAGTGATGTTTTGTAAGTTTTGCCTTCGAACTTCTATTCCTCATGTTCTGATCTGCTTGAGATAGCATTGTAGGTATCACAACTTGCTGGGGTTCTCTCCTCAATGGAGCAAAGTATTTTTCATTTCATTACTTAAGAACCAAAGTAGCAGATAATTTACCTACACATCTGAAGTTAAAAATGTATCTAAACTCATAAAATACCAATTTATACTCATAAAATACCCTCAGGATAGCATTTGTGTACATGCTTCCGCTTAAGTAGGTGCTTATGTGTTTCCCTGAAATAAGCCTTTATTACCTTAAGTTTTTCATTAAAAAAAATCATATACATGAAAATTTTCTCTTGCATGTAACATATGTACAGAGATGTAAAAAATATAGAAAGTTTTTATTACTTTAAACTTTATGCTTATATCAAAACAATTATATATAAATAAAATGTCTCTTTGTTATTTTCTGTCTAGTTATCACAAGTAACAGAACTAAGGCATGCTGACTGTAGTATGGAACACGGAGACAACACAGCAAGAACTTGTAGTGCCTGTCCATTGTCCTCTGCTAGTTTTTGGCCTTCTAACTGTACACCACTTTCAGAAAAACATTACAATACAAACCTAATGGGCAACATGTGGGAACGGACCTATGAAGAGGAGCTGCAAAACCAGGTTTGATTAATATTTTGTCATTTCTGCAGAATTATTTTAAATTAACTTTCATTTATTTGGGCTGTAGAAATAGTGTAATGGTGAAGATAGTTATGAGTCATCAACATTTCTTTTAGGCTGGTGACAATGAATATTCCACATATACAAATATATTTCTTTAAATGTTATGAAATACACTTAACTTTTTCATTGAGCTCTCAGTACTGCTAATATCTGCAGAAAGAGAGTCACATACTTCTGTCTTTTTTTTTTTCCTGGCTTGTGTGAAGCTGGTTAAAGAAAACTGAAACATATTACAGTTATAAATACAGCTTTTTAAAATGTACAATTAGTATAAGTGGGTATTGTATGATCCCTGGTGATCACCATGACCTGATCTGTACTCATGCAGTGTCTCAGTGGGTAACACAGTTCTTACAGTATTCTCAGCATTCCTAAAAGAATTGAGAAAAACTCAAATTAAGTTTAAGAAATGATTGAAAGTTATTTGTTCTATTGCACAGTACTATTTTTTTCCCTTTTTGTTAACTTTGGGGTTAAAAGAAGGATTCCTAGAAAAGTAATGTCAAATATAATATGTCTTATTTTTAGAAATTATATTATATATTGAAAATAATAAAACAAATTCTACATGTATCACCAGTGGTATTTTAAAGTCTTGAGGTAAGTGATGAAGGGGTACTTCAGGGCTTTAGAAGGGGAGATGTTGGGTTGTTCAGGGAATGGGTAGGCAGAAGCCCACAGGAAGCTGATTTGAAGGACAAAGGAGTCTGAGAAAGATGTTTCAAAACACTTGTTGAGGTGTTTCAAGGGCAGACCACCTAATTCCTCTGAAAGGAGGAATGGGCAACCCTGGAAGAAAACAGAAACATCCCCTGAGCTTGGAGGGCTGGCATTAGGAAGATCAGAGCTGAAGCTCAGAAGAGGTGAGAAGGGCAGCAAGGAGGACTTCTACAGTTGTGTCATCAGCAAAATTAAAACAAGGAAAATTCTGTCCACTGCTCAACAGAATTGAGGCCTAGTGACAAAGGAAATGGAAAAATCTGAGGCACTTGAGAGCTGCTTTGCTTCAGGCTTTTCTGACAAGTATTCTGGCACATCTGCAAGCTCAGCAGAGAGTCTTGGGGACAGTGGTACAAAACAGTAATGAAGGAACAAGTTAGGGAATCCGTAGTAACCAGGACATAAAGAAACACATGGACTGGACAGGATGCATCCAAGTATATTGAGGGAGTTGGACGATATCACTGCAGGACAGGTGTCTATCATCTTTGAAAGACTGTGGTGATCAGGAAAGCTTCCCAGTGGCAAGAATTACAGAAATGTTATGCCCATCTGCAAAAACGTAAGCATCATCTGGGGAACTATCATTTCACCTCTGTCTCTGGAAGAATTATGGAGCTAGAGCTCCTGGAGTCAATCCCAAGGTACATGAAGAACAAGAAGGTGACTGGAAAGAGCCATCATAGACTTACCAAAGCCATACTGTGCCTGATGAAGGTGATTGCTTTCTGTGATAAAATCACTAGCTCTGTGAATAAGGGAGAGCAGCAAGTATTATTTACCTTGACTGCAGGAAGGCTTTTGACAAGGTTTCCCATGGAATTCTAGTACCCAAAGTGGAGAGGTGTGAACCAGAAGAATGAACAACAAGATGATTAAAAACCTGACTGTTACCATCATGCTGAGAGTAGTTGTCTGTTGGTTGAAGCCTCATTGGCAACAGGCTAGTACTGGCAGGGATCTCCAGCCATTAATGCCAACTCCAATACATCTTCATTAGAGAGCTGGATGATGGGACAGGCTGTGCCCTCAACAGGTCCATGCATGACACCAAATTGAGGGTGATCATTGCAGGAGCAGAGCTTCTACTCAGAGGGATCTTGACAAGCAGAAGGCCGTTTCATAGAGTTTAACACAGAGAAATACAAAGCCCTGGACCTTGGGAAAAAGAACCCCACAGGACTGTGCAGGTGGGGACAGATTCATTAGGCAGCAATTTTGCAAAGGACCTGAGGGTGCTGGTGGACAACAAGGTGTACATGAGTCAGCAGTGCACCCTTGTAGCAGCAAAGGCCAGCTGCATAGAGGGCTGTATTGGAAAGACCATACCCCGCAGCCAAAGGCAAGTGATTGTTACCCTCTGAGCAGCATGTGAGATCATGAAATAGTGTCCAGTTTTGGGACCCCCAGCACAAAAGGGTGATCAACAAACTGTAATTGGACCAACGAAGACTCACAAAAATTCTTAGGGGACTGGAGCACATGATGAATGTGGAGAGACTGAGCAAAGAGGGCTTTCATAGCCTGGGAAAGAGAAGGCTCTAGGGGTGTGGGGTGAGCTAATTGCTGTCCTCTACAGTCTAAACAGAGTTACAGACAGGACAGAGCCAGAGGTACGCGATGAAACGACAAGAAGCAAAAGCCACAAGTCTTAACAATGGAAATTCAGTCTGTATAAGAAAAGGGTTTTGTCACAAAAGTAGCTAAGCACCAGAAGGGGCCATCCAAACAAGCTGGGGAACCTCAGTCCTGAGCAATCCTGAACAATCTGGCCTAACCCTGAAGCTGGCCCTGCTTTGAGCAGGTTGGACTCAATACCTCTTCAAGTAAGTACCTTCCAGACAACAACTTTCCATGATTATACCACCTTCAGTGTCACAGTCCATCAAGCTTGTTCATACTGTGGGAGGATGGGGTGCTAAAAGGACATTTTGTATATTAACAGTGATATTTAAATATGGAAAAGTGTAAGTTATACAGAATCCAGTTGGACTGGAGGCTTGGTCTTCTACTGTAAAATAAAAAGAAGTAAAAATAGTGGGAAAACATATACTGTTTGCAAACCCAACTTTAATGTTTTTAACACTAAAACTATTCTATATATTCAGAGTTTGACAGCTTCTACTGTTTTCTTAGCCAGGAAATAGTTGTGATCAAGACCCTTGGATTACAAAACCTCCAGGCCAGTGTACTTTCAGGAAGTCGGAGACAGTGCCTCAGGAACTGTTTAGGCTGTTGCATAGGTAGGCATTGATTTTACAGTAAATAGAGAAGTAACAGTCATGTTTAAGTAAGAAAAATACTAAGATAATCTGAAGCTTATTGCTACTTGATTTTCTCATTAGTTTTTGGTGCTTTTCAGATAGGAATAGAAATTAAGTGGAAAGAATGAACATAGCAATCCATTTAAATTTGCTGCAAGGCAGCAGAATGCGACTTCTGGGCTGGCGCCTAGAACTGTGATCTATGTTTTGCAGTGTCACAAGTATGACTGTGTTACTGAATTCACCTCAGATAAGAAGCATGGATTTACTAAGAGGCCACAGGGAGGACAGCTGGCCCAACTCTCATTAGTTCTGGTCACTGTTGCAAGTGCTTTTCTGATGACCTTGGTGCTGTAGCAGTTGAGCAACTTCTCCAACTACATTGTTTACATCCAGGATTCCAGGAACAAAGCGTTTTCTGTCCTTTGCCTCCATATGTGATCCTACTACTATAGTCTGCATTTTTTTTTAGAGTTGCTTCAATAATAATTTTATGAGAAGATACACTTTGTTTCTAAAAGAACGGACAGAAATCTAGAATATATTTGGGTTTGTATGTGCCAATTAAAAACCTTTGTAAACACAGAGGATGTAGGACCAGACTCATTTACACAGAAGATTTTATTCCAGTTTCTTTCCAGTGGCTCTTGCCTTGGACCTAGGGGTCTTAGAGGGCTAACCTGTCTTTACTCTTTCTGTGCCCTAAGTCTGCCATCTGGTTGAGAGTTCCTGTGTCTCTGGCTTTGGCTGAGTAGAGCCATGAAAGGCCACATATTATTTTGCTGTTCCTGAAGTACCTACAGCCTGTTTGCCTGCGGAGTCAAGTGACTGATAAGCTCATTGACCACATGATTACTTACTGAACACACCAGCTTCCAGTCTTAGCCACCTTAAGCTCTCTTCTCCTAGCTTCTCCTTGTTTTGTCCAACACTACCTAAAATGAGGAAAACATTCACCCTCCTGTGTATCTTGGTGAATTCCTGATTAAAATCTTTACATGAAAACCCTGTATAACCTTATCTTGCCTACATCTTCATTTCTCCACTGGCCCTGAAGCCTGCATGTAAGCCACAAGCTTGTGACATCTCCCTTAGTCCTCTGCCTGCTCATGGCTCACTAACAATATCTCCTTTCCAACCGTTCTTACAATCCATTTCTTTCTATCATCCTTGTATTGTTTTCATCCATTGTTGCCATATTTATACCTGAAGAGCTGGCAGTTCTCCTGGGAAGGGAGCTGCTGTTTGCGAAAAGCAAGGTATTAACTTATACAGTTGTTTAATGCAGTTTTAACATACTGACATGTGCATACATCTGAGAGCTGTGGCACCTCAAGATCATTAAATATTAACTAAAAATTTTATATATCTTATTTCCTCACCTACTAGCATTACGATCTGTTCAGCTGGAGTCAAAAAGGAGCCTCTGAACTGCTTCACAAAATGTTTTTACCTTCTTCATATAGATCTCCAGAAACAAACTAGTTTGTTTCTACTGTGTTTAGCCTTTTTAAACTGTTCTGGGAAGGTTTCTGCAAGTTGGGGACACTACTTTCTTGTTTAAGCTCCCAGTTTTATCCCAGTTTATTTATCCAGTTCCAAGTATCAAAACATTACAGATTTTTTTATCCAGTAAGTTTTCTGTACTACATTTCAGTTTTCAAGTTCCATTGATAACACTGCTCTATTTTTAAATTTTAAAGAAAGGTATTTTTTGAATGGCCTTCTCTGCCAGTTCTTTGTGCTTTAGAAGCCTCTTAACTTTTTGCTCAGGTTTTCTGAAAGGTCAATCAGCAGATCGAGCCTAGAAAAAAGCAGAGAATTTTAGATTAAGAGCCAAGTAAATGAAAGTATGATATGTTTAATGCTGATGATGCTGGTATGATAGCGTCTTCAAAACTGCTACTGTCAGGAGTGGGGTAGGGAAATCTGGGCTAAACAAAATGTCTGACTGGCCTCCTGGCAGTGGAACAGAAAAACTCTGATGGTTTAATTTTGCTGACCTCAAGTACAAACGGAAGTCACTTGCTTGCGAGATGAGGAATTAGCAGTACATAGAGCTTACTATGAGCTTGCAGTACAGGAGAGAACTGTAGTCCTGAAGAGCAAACTGTTTTTATGAACGGAAGAAACTGCCTTTTTTTTTGCATTTTTTTTTTTTTGGCCTTTTTTTTTTTTTTCCTTCCCCAAAGTGGCCTTCTTTGGTCAGCTGGTGGAGCAGCAGTGACATGCTGTGGCTGCTTTTATAAAACACAGTTCCCTACTCGGGAGGATGTGAGGATGTGCTCCATGTCTTGGTATGTTTGGAGACATCATGAAACAGAATGCCTTTAAACTAACCTTACTACAAAGTGGAAATAAAATACAGGACACTTTTTCAGTTGAAATAATGTACATTCGGGACAAAAGCAAGTGTGATGAGCAGTTAAGTCTTCGAGAATGTTATCATGGAGTTAACATAACTTGTTGTGTTAGCACTTAGTATTTGCTTATTCATGTATTGAGCAAATTTTTTTCTTTTCGCCTCTCCCTCCACCTCCCCCCGCACCCCCAGGCTAGACTATATGAACTCTGGCAGGAACAACCCAGCCATAATGACCAGTAACCAACCAGAAAGCAGTGAAGGAATAAAAGAACCATTGTTTGACATTGTGAAAGAAACTGCAGAACTGAAAACTCCTCAAGATGGAAGTGCTTGTTCCTTTCTGGCACTGTTTGAAGATGAAAGCAAACCAATCCATAATAATCCTTCCACAAAGTATTTTAATCCTTATGTTCCTCAAAGCAATACTGCCATTTCTTTCATCAAACCTGATAATAGAAATCAAATGACCAACATAAGTTATCTGTATGATACTAGAGAGGCTTATCCCACAATCAGTGTCAAAAACAGTTGTGTGGACAGACACCTTGAAGGCGTTTTCACAGCTCCAGAACAGGTTTTACTTAAAAGTAACAATGTCTCAAGTGCAAGCTACAAGGAAACGAGCGGACTTTGTAAAACCCACCTGCAGGACTGCCTGGAGGGACAGCACTACTACTTCATACCCGCAGAGAAGAAAGAAACACTTGCAAACCTTGAAAGAATTGGTGCGTGTCAATACTTTAAGGACATATATACTGGCTTTTATTCTCCTTTGAAAGACATATATTTTTATAACCAGAGATGTCTTCCCTGATTGAAAACATGTAATGAATCTTCAGAATGCAGTAAATTAATTTAATCCAATTATTTAAATTACTTTCAAAGCTTGTCAGAAGCATTTATTTTCAGATTGCATTTATGCTGTTGCATTTTAAAATTAAGGTTAATTTTCCATTTTAGATCCATTTGCTTATCACCATGATCAGCAGATTAACTTACAGGAGAATGTGCAGAACTACTCAAGAAGAACAAGGTGAGTGCCATCAAGGTGAGAAATTATCAATCTACTGACTGATGATAACTGCAAAGACCTTACTGAATTGGAGAAATCTTGCTAGAAGAACATGAAGGCAAAATTCTGAACAGTACTACTAAGAATTCAAGTTTTCCTAGTGAAAATGAATAATGTGAATAAACATACTCAAGTAAGCCCTTTATACCATCTTTCATCTGCCTATAATAAGTACAGAGAAAGGTTTGTTCATGGGACAGTTTTGAGTTTTTTTGAAGTTAACATTTTTTAAGTTAAACCTTTGCTCTGAATTCCCCTCTAAAAGACCCTGTCTCCTTCCACTGACTACAGAGGAAGTTAGTGTCTTCCCTGGGCTAAAGCTGGCATATGTGAGTGCTTCATGTTTTACAAAAAGTGGTTTTATCAAAGACTCTGATCCACAACACCTTCTGATTTACAAAGCAGCACTATATTTTGTCATCTCTCATATTATGTTTTGCATTTCAATGGAAGTGGAGTTTGTGAAAAACAGATCCTTGGTGTTAAATCTCAGGTTCTGAAAAGAGTTCAAAAACCTCAGTAATGGGAAGCATTTAATGGTTACTGAAGACAAAACAAAAACTGAAGGCAAAAAGTCACTTGTAATGACTTTGATTCAGAAAGAAAATAAAAGTACAGGAGAGGGAATCACTTACCAGAGAACTGTTTGCATCCCTTAGTGATGATGAGACTCTGAAAGAATCAGTATGGAGACAGAACCAGCTCTTTGGATTTGAAGAGGTAACATTTTAAAGAGAGAATTTAACTTCAGTGAATTAACTTCTAGGGAAGCTTCTTTTCCATCATGGTTTATATATGGAATCCAGAAAGAACAGCTTCTAGCTCAGTGGTTCACACAGAACCACACAAATTTTGTGTCCGTAATTTACATGGTTTGAGTCACGCCTAAGCTGATGCCCGAGATACATTTTGTGAGCCACCCATCAACCCCTTAGAGCAGATTCTGCAGGCAGTGCCCAAACATGATATGCAGGACACTTCAGCATTATAAAGGAGCTTTATGCCAACATACATATAAAGAATCTTTTAGATATTTTGCCCATGGAAATCTTCCAGGTATGTACAGTATTGCTCAGGGATTTTGTACCTCTTAAAATAATTCGTGGTACAGTGCAGTAACTCCTTTATGTAATACAGAAGATGAACGTTCCTCACTTAACCTGAGGTGCTGATCCAGCTGAATCCTCACTACTAACACTCAGTTATTTTTAAAAGTTCACAGCAGCACAAAAGGAAGAGTCTAAGTTTGGAGCGAGTTCAAATCTTCATGAGATGGAGAAGGGTTAGTACCACTGATAATAAAAATAAAATAAATGAGATAATCTTTTTCTCTACATGTGAAACCGAAACTGTTACTTTTAAAGGCCGGGAGAAGTTTTTTTTATAATTTCAGGATGTTATATTTGATTTTTGATTCATGCACCACTGTACAAAAAGACTAGCATTACCACATAACTAAGAACTATCTGTATTTATCTTTCCTTGAAGAGATAAATTCAGGTTACCTTCTCTGGTGAGTATTACACACATATGTTTCATTGTCCTGTTTCCTCCAAAGCTGTCCCCTCAAGTGAAAAGCCAGCTCTGAAAGTAGAGGTAACAGCTAAAAAGTCAGGAGAAATGTCAGGAGTATTAATTTGAACACCACAACTCAAGTTTACTAATATCACCATACAGTAAAAGTGCAAAGCAAATGCCAGTAATTTTCTTTCTTTCTATCCTGCAGACCTCTGCTGGCTGAAAAAAAAATCTTGGACATGTTTTCTCTATTAATGACTATCTCCATTAGCTGTTTGACATCTGCCATTTTACTGGTCCAGTCTTTATTCTCTTCCACTAGACTACATGCTGTGTTCCACATGTGAGCAGAGTGAGGGGAGTCAGCAGGGAGGTCTCATGTCCCTTTTGCTCCTGCAGTAGCTGTAGGGATCAGCTGTGCTGGCTGCATTTCAGGGCAGAAGTTGTTCCAAGGGCCTCCAAGAAAAAAACATGCAACTTGTCGGGCAGCCAACATGTGCAGGGACTTTGCTATATTCTCTCCCTGCCCTTGCTCTGCAGAGTCTTTCCTCCTCTTGGGGAGCACAGTTCTGCTGCTGTTGCAGGCTGCTGATTAACAGCGTAGGTGAAGCTTTGGGGCACCCTCCTCCCACTTTCTGTTATGATCTGTTGTCCTAAAAGGAGGAGAATTGGCTATTGCCAAGATCTAGATTGGCCTCACTAAAACTTTATTCTTTAAATGGTATCTGAACACTGCATCATAAGTAGTCATATTTTATTTTACATGCTGTACCTGAGTTGGATGTTTGGGGAATTTTTGGTGAGTTCTTTCTTTTTCACCTCCTGTTTCAGATGTGGAGTCATCACTCAGCAGCCAGTCTCTCAGTTACTCTCCAAGGCAGACAGAGAGCTGTCTCAGCTCCAGTCTCGACACGGTGAGTACTGCTGCCCCTTTAGGGGTCTGTGGGGGTTCGTTTGAACAGTACCTCTAAGCCTGAGCACATCTGAAGGTGGATGTGGCTGGAATCTTATATATATGGTTTTGGTTTGTACAGGGCAACTTCATGTATGAGGAAGACAAGAAATGTTTAGCTGTAAATTTTCCTAGTAGTCTAACAGACATGTGTTCTGGTCTCTTGATGATACCAGACCCTGTGGGATTAGTCACATGACTGGGGGAAGATGCTAAGCAAGGTTTTGTGCTCTTCCTTGATGTACAGCTGCCTTACGTTACAAGCCTGTAAGGCAGGAGGATTTGACACACTCTGTGTTTTCAGTCATTATTGAATTCAAAAATGCCACAATGTAAGAATATAAATTTTGTGTGAGAATGAAGGTCTGCCTTGCCCACCTTCTCTTCAAGCAAGGACAGGAGTACACCCTGGGAGAAAGAATGAAAAAGAAACCCCAACAAAAAAAACCCGACAATTCTGGCCTTTCTGTTAATTTCCTTAATTTAGTTATTAGTCATTAACTTACTCCTTACTTATTAAACTATTTCAACAGCTGCATTCACACAATTCTGTTCAAACAGTTGGAAGAGGAAGACACACATGGAAAGAAGGTGTATCTGAAAGAACAGCCCTTGAGCACTGATGATGCCAACCTGGTTTCAGCAGCCTCAGCAAGGACAGAGTCCCCCACGACCTCTCACACCAGAACCGCGCCTCTCCAGCCCAGCAGTATTCTGACCAGAGAAGCAGCAGATCTTCAGGAGAACATCTCTATTTTGTGTGCCAGAGAGGAGGAGAGTCAAGCCCACCCTGCTCCGCCCGAGGGCAGCTCATTACACCAAGCCCTCAGAAGAGAGCTCGTCCCTCGCAGTGCCACGTGCGACGCTTGGTCGCAGACTGAGGGCTCCGTGGCCCAAGTGAGGAAAGTGGATGTTGCCACCCAGTGTGAGCCCGCGCAGGTGTGCGGGTGTGGGGGCTCCCTCCTCTCTGCCCGCAGCCCAGGGAGGGCCCCTCCTCCCGGCGCCGCTGGAGGGCACAGAACGCCGG